CTGAATGTAATACTTCGAATCCGTCTGTGAGAAGCAATTTAACGGAATTAGGGTATCGTACATGACGTGAGTTAATATCAGTTGGAATACTATGGGTACCTTTTATTCATTTTTTTCTTGCTAGATTAGCAGTTTTGATACTCATACATTTTTATGCCTCACTCTTGTTCATCCTTATTGAACCGGTCCCAATTTTCACTATGATTGCTACTACTGCTTTTTTAAACGTATTCGACTATCATCTTAGGAAATTCTTCTTTCACTATACTGACATAAAGTGTGACAGTGCAGATTGATGAAAATTCGTATTAGGTTCGATTGTTGTCGATAACTGATTGGCATTATTTCCTTACACTCACTGATCAATATACAGAGACGACGTTTGGGTAATCAATACACAATAAGGACGAGAGAACTGCTAACCTATGCTTGAAGATCGGCCTAACACTAACTTGCTTTAACCGAAAAACACAGATCAATGACCATCAGTCCGAAATTCCTTAGTACATACATACATACATACAAAACAAGGCAAAATCACACTAATAAACGGAAAATAACAACTGCATATGAATGAGCCAAAAGTGTCTGTGAGTGGGGGAGATCGTAAATAAAAAATAACAAAATAGGAATAGCAAACCGTGTGATAATTTATGGGTTATTCAAAAACCAGTGGTGGAAGAAACATAAATACTTGATAATCTAGTAACTCAATAATTATACAAGAAGACTCTACACAGTAATAATCCATAAATCGGTCTTTTAAATCAAGATTATTTTAATCTTCGGCCAGATATAGTAATTGACAAACATTATAAATAAACGCAACGTATCACTATTCAGCTACATGGAACATGAGAATCCCGATTTTTACTGTAATCATTCACATAAATTAGTACCAATCTCTAAAGCAGTAGTCAGCAGTTCAAGTTACATATAAGGCATATACACACTATATGAACTATTGTAGGACAATATGGAGGAAGTAAAATAAGTTAAATGTAGTATATGGCCAATAGGACGTCCAATAATAAAGAATAAAGTACAATCAATGGCTTTCTTGAAAAACACAATAAACTGAAAGTGTACGCATAAGTAAACATTTTGTTCGATATACTTTGAGCTTTCTCTGATTTTATTGTTTTTCTTACCAAAAAACCACCTTAATTATTCTTTAAAACCCAAACTTTAACGTAGAGTAGAGTTTAAACTGCATTCCTAAGGAAAATTATTTAGAAATATGAAGTAATATCTTACCGGTTAAAGCGAACAGTTTCCACTGGTAGCTAGGTTGTATTGATAGATTTTTAAAAGGGTTACAAGCTTTTCTACATCAACTCACTCAACGTTCGTATACGAGAAAGATAATAGAAATATAATTCTTGTACTATAACGACGAAATAATAACGATTACAGTGACATTTTTGATGCTTAGGTATATATTCAAATGCAAAGTGGTGTTTGAAGGCAGTTTACAAGCAACCCTGAATGTTGTGCTATTCGGCCTAAACCTGTAAACTTGAGGAAACTGATTAGTAAATTGCAAATATATTCATGTGCATAATGAATTAAAATTCAATGGACTGATTAAACATACATAATTTTGGGCATAAATTAATATTAGTCGAGAAACCAATGAAAAACAAGAAGCACTAGGCATGTGTTCCGACATCTTATTGACTTATGTATATTAACTCTCTTAGAGAATAGGTCACTGACAATCACTCTTCAACCAATCATGTCCCATGATCATCTTTCCAGTTGTTCCCAATCGCTATTCATCATTTTCATATGTGCCTTCAATTTTCAGCGTACTGTGTTCGTCGGTCTTGCACTTTTCCCTTGACCCTGAGGATTCCAAGTTAGGGCTTGCCTTGTGACGCAGTTGGGTGCTCTCCTCAATCTGTGTCCTATCCACCTCCAGTTCTTATTCCTGATTTCTTCTTCAGCTAGAATCTGCTTTATTCTCTTCCACAGTAGGTTGTTGCTGGTGGTGTCTGTCCAACGGATCAGGAGTATCTTGCGTAGACAACTTTCAACAAACACCTGTATCTTGTGAATGGTGGCTTTCGTTGTTCTCCAAGTCTCCACTCATCATCATCTTCATCAACAGCAACGTAGAACTTTGCACGTAACTACAGCAGTTCAAGTTACCATACCACATCAAAACAGAGATATAATTTTCAATTCAAATCCCATAATAGTAGAGGTAGTAAAGGTATTAGAAGTAATCGGAGAGGTTAGGATTAGAAGATATTATTCAAGGAATATAATTCAATGAGGTAAATTTAGAAAGAGAAAGATAGAGGTGATGAAGAATTCAGAAGGTGAGAATTAGAGAGAACACAAAGCGTAAATGCACCTGCGCCATTGTGGACGGTTTTGAGCCATGTCATTCAGGGTCTCTAACCATCGATTATTATCATCTCGCGGACCCCAACTAGGTAGCCTACATCGACCAACATTGCTAAGTCCACTCGTCAATGACTTCATGGATTTCTGCCATGTTTTGATCTGGCCGACCCTAGCTTCCGTCCAACCTACTCCTACACCACAAAACATAGCTCGACGAGGCAGTCAGTGGTTAGGCATACGCTACATATATCCCAACCACCTCAACTGATGAGGTTTCAATACTTCTTCTATTGATCTGCCATTCTTACCTAGCTCCCGTTTCCTAATAACAGCGTTGCTTACTCGGGTGTCCCAGGATACTCGAGCAATGCTTCGGAGACGCCTATGATTGAAAACAAGCAACCTACGAATGTCTACTCTGACTGACCATGTTTCACAGCCATAAAATAGGACGGAGCGAACTACTGCGTAGTACACTCGTCCTTTAGTTTGCGATCGGATATCTCGCCTTCTCCATAAGCGAAGGTCTCCGCTCTGTACAAATAGAACTGTCTTGACGTTCGTATTGAAAATTCTGACATTGGTTTTGGTTGATAGTGGTTTGGAGTTGCAGATGTTCTCTAATTGTAGAAATGCTACCATTGCTTTGCTAATCTATATCTTCACATTGCCTACCAAGGGCACTACTCAGATATGTAGGAGTTTCCAATATCTTCCAAGGCTTTGTAATCAAGTATGATTTGGTTGTTATTCTCTGTGTCGTACTTAGTGATTCAACTTTCTCCCTCATGTTTGTTGGGGCCTACTGCTACACCAGTTGTCTTCAAGTGTATTTGTTGCAGCATGTGAGATAGAAGAGCAATGTCATCTGAAAAGTTCAAATCGTCTAAATGCATCTATGCTGTCTGCTGTATCCCTTGTTTACGCTTTTCTGAGCACAGATTAGCAGTTCTCTTGTCCTTATTTTGTTTTGGTTGCTCAAACATCATCTTAATACATTGCTAACTTCAGCGTTGCTTATTCGGTGGTCCCAGGAAATACAAGCTGATCTGTAAAGTCATCTATAAGCAAATGTTAGTGACTGACGAATATTCTCTACTATTACTGGCTATGCTTTACACCTGGCATAGTTGGACCTAAAAAAATATATGTCCTAGTCAAGAGAGCTAGGTTGGGTCATGACGATAGGCACGCCCGACCACCACGTCAAGGTAGCAGCTACGGTCGGGCTACAGAAAACAACTTACCAGTACGGTAACTACGTTTGTTTGTTATAACATTAATTATCGAAATGCCTAATATATTTTACGGTAAAATTTACGAAGGGTTGTGCATTAACTACTGTAAAAAAAAATCACAATTGATATGATCCGCGTTTATGGAACTGTGAGGTTGTAACTGTTTAAAAACACAATTGCAGTACTTGATAACCGTCAATGTTCCACTGAATTCAAGCGAACACTTTTAGTGTATTTTAAAAAGACGGGCAACTGTATGTAGCAGATGAACAGAGTACACATTACTCAAATGATAAAATTACAACGTTTAAGTCCATCAAGCAACATGACTTGTAAGATGATATCTACAGAATTATTACATATGAACATAACCTTTCTTTTTCGTAGAATCAAGTTACAATTAATTGCCTGGTACGAACATGTAGTGTGAAAATAAACAGCAGTGTAGAAGGGACAAAAATTTTGCTGGGGAATAATAATTACTTCGAAGTTTAGAATATCTATAATGAATTCCATTGTCGCACAACTACTGATTTTCGGACATGCCATTTAAGGTCTCCAAACATAAATTTCTTCACCAGCATGAAATCCGATCACGATGTCCACAACACGTCAGAGAGTATGGTAATAATCAACGTCTCTGGAGAATATCAACTGTTGATTTATTCTAAGATAATCCTTTTAAGACTTATGCCTGAGTGTATTATTCTACTTCATTTTCTAGTGTCTTGATATATCTTTTAGGCATCGCCACAACACTACACAGTCAAGGACCTCTTTCAGTAACCACGGTTTTACATGATGTAAAACTTATATGCCCTAGAACCCTATATGCAACAAAGATGTGATTGATACACTTTCAGTTAAGTTTAACACTTACTTAGTTCCATAATGTTTTTCTCTAGTGTAATTGAAGGCCTAAGAACCATAAGCTTCATGTACATATTAACTAACTAGCCACTATTAGTAACAAGTTTGAAATTGTAAGGTAAGGTAACTAACAATGTCAACTATTTTGAATGGATTATCTCTTGCTCACAGACAGTAATTCGTTTAGTCCGAAGACTAAATAGAAGTCGCAAAGGGAACCCTTCGCTGAAACAATCCTCCTTGGCTTTGTCTGATTGGATGCATCTCGCTTGTTTAAAAACTAGTTTCTAGAAGCCATTTGAACTAATTGAATTGATCAGTTATCATCTTGCTTGACGATAATTTTATCAACTGTAACCACTACAAAATTATGCTAAATTCTTCTAGCTTGACTAATGTCCATACGACCTTATTCACGTGATATGAAAATGATGAATATCCCGGTTAATATAATTCGATTAAGACAATGACAAGCAACCCCAATTTATCTTGAAATCGTTAGTTAAAAACCTTGGTCAATAACAATCACCAAACCCTGTTTTCTTATGGATGCTGATTCATCATATTAACGTCATCGCAAATGATTTATAATAGTCTTCTTATTGTGAAAAGGCTACAAGAGATATTTAAAATATATTATAGCTGTACAATCCCAGTGCAATTATCAATCATTTTTTCATGCACTTTAGACTTTTAGAGGAAGAAGATCGACTGTTCTCATCACATGAGAAAGCACTAGAGGATGAGGATTCACTACTAGAACTTCCGTCACTGTCTGAACTAGATTCTGAGCTAGAATTTGCATCATCCGAGTCTTCTCCAGAACTTGAAGTCGAAGAATCAGAAGAAGAACTAGAGCTTGAGGATGATGATTTAGTGTCGTGTATTTTTCTGAAGGAACAAAACTAGGTTATTTACTTTAGACGTACTTTTGAATCCTTGACTTTTTCTGGGTTTCAAGCTTCTTTCCCAATATACTAGTGTATGACTCCCGTTTCAGATACTTCCGCTGATTTGTACATTGATAAGTCCAGTGACCTTTCTCTAAACACTTTTGACAACTTATAAGCGAAGTGTCGGCAGATCGGCTGCAGAAAGGAGAAAATTGTGCAGACATTCTATAATACTGTATCACTAGATACGAAAAGTCAAATTAAGAATGGAAATGATTCGAACTAAATAGCAAACTCAGGTTTGTGCAGCGGGGGATGAACTGCACAATATAAGTCGACCATGTGAAATTACTGCTAAAAATCCTTTAATACTGGTAGATCAAACACTCTGAATTTTAGATATGTTGGGGCTACATTACAGACGTTACAACCGTGAAGGGGTCAGTCAGTTACAACGTAGATCTTCATACGTGGGTATATCAGTTGGAAAAATTCAAAAATTGATGAGAAGCATTAGTATATTTCAAAATGATAAGATTAAATGGTTTTATCTCTATTTTTGCCAGTTTCTTAAAGCCAGGTTGTTACAAGCCAACAATACATTTTTTTATTTTCATACCTGGAAATTATTTCAATGTTAATATTATGAAGTTATAACCGTGGACGCCATTTTAAATTGTATCAATTTCTGTGGAAAACGGTACTGAATAGTTATTTAACCTCACACTGAATATATTACACACCAACAGATAACCAAACCGAAAAGGCCTACATTTGAACAGATGGTAGTCCATACACAAATTCGATTATCTGTGCTAAAGAAGATGAAATCTACATTGTTTTCCAAACGAAAGTTCGAAAGGTTTAAATCATAATTCCATAGTCAAAAAACAAATTGTCATTGCTTTAAAACTTATCCCGGTTCTCGGGAGAAACGACCAAAGAACTAGGACAAAAACTTTAGATGACTACTAGTACTTATTAATTTCAACAGCGTTCATATCAAAAAGTCGAAATTGATACCCAAATATATTCACATATAATTATTGGGTTAAATAAGTAAGATATTCACTGAGATATAAGTAATATGACATAATCTTAACATGACAATTCCAGCTCTTTATAAAATAAGAAAAACTTGGAAAAGTGTCAGTCATCAGCGTCACTTAACATCAAAATTGACTCAGTATTAATTTCATCATGAAGATTCTGTAAACCACATATCTTTTCGAGATAAGAAGCGTCATCGAAGACCTGTTGTAAAAACGTGTATCCGGTCGCCTTGTAAGCGTCTAATACAGACTGAGAACATGCAGAGCACTTGGCAAATGCCGGTGTTGCAGGCAAAACCTGTGTGTAATGCGAAAGAAAGCCTCTTATTTGATGAGGAACAAGACCAAGAGACATTTTAGTTGAATCTGAGATAGAAAACTCTTGAGATAGTGTATCTGCGGGAGCTTCATAGAGGAGTGGGTGTTGGAGTACACTGATCATCAATTCAACAGCGAGGGCAGCTGCGACCATAGATACTCCGGGTCGAGTAACGGTACACTGTTGATCCAGACTGCGGTTGCGTGTTGAATTCACAGGTCCAATCACATCATTGCAGAAATAACAACCCAAAAGAGAACCACCTATAGTCTTCACATTTTTGAACGAATCTTCTTTTCTAGGAGTCGCTTCATCAAAACTAAGAGAAGAAATATGTGGAGTAAGGTTGTCCGCGTTTGAGCTTGGAGACTTAAAAGGACCCCGTACACCATGACGCATAACAAGAAACGTATCGAAACCCAAAGCAGCATTTATTGCGAGTTTTCCATGAGCAGTTGCCAAAACTGTGGGTAACCAACGGGATTCCCGAGTGTCTGTTAATAAGAATATAACATCGTGTTCCTGAACCAAAGAACTCAATTGCAAACAAGTATTTTCTGCAGACTGCTCCAAGTCGGAAAATTGTGAATGTTGAGATTCATAATGAGACCGGTTAAAAGAAGATACAGGATGCCCAGGCATCGGGACGCTGAGATCAAGACCACGAACAGTCACCCCCGGAAAAATTGCTTGAAGTGCATTGGCTGCGATAACTGCCTTGTTTTTAACAGAGCCTATGGAGTCAGAGAAAACGTATAACGACTGTCGTACAGGATTTGAAAAAGAAACTGTGCCGTTGTCTATCAGGGTTATGTGACGAATACCCCAGGCCAATAGCTGACGAGCGACATTGCAACCAAGAGTACCAGCTCCTATCAACAAACACTTTGTATCACGAAAAACTGACAATTTTAGGTCCGGCATTAGTCTCCATTTCATTAGTTTTAAATTCAAATCTACTGCTGATTCAGCCAGTTTAACTGGGTCCATACTTGTACTAAGGTCTACTACGCGAGGTATCAATTTGTTTTTCCACTTTTCCCAGCCAACAAACTGAGTAAATACTGGATCTATGGGTTTTATGTCGATATGTATAACGATGCTATGTTCCCAGTACCTTTTTCCTGAGGCGAAACGATCCCTGAGACATAAAATTTTAAGAGAACATTCGGTTCGAATAACGGTAGATGACAGTGCGTACAATAAATTGCGTAAGAGCCAGCAAGGTAGCTGTGGGTCTACAGAAGAATCACACATACCAATATATACATAAGGATTCAACTCAAAATCCGACAACGGAAGAACGTCAACTGATGGTTGCGATTTCAGGACAAAAAAGGGTGAAGTGTTTTCTTTGCGCCAGCAATCGAATGAACGAAAAATGAGTACAAGTTGATCTTCAGTAAACTCTTCTCTGATACTTCGAGTAAGCGTGACTACTGGCTGAATAGAGTGCAGGACTGCAGGAAAAGCAAACCAGAAGTAAAATTTGTACTTTTTCAAATCGCAGTATGTCAAAAGTAAGAACCGGAGAAGTAAATCAGGATTTCTTAAAAATTCATTCTGTGCAAGGGCTTCAGCCATAAACTTTGTACCGTATTCATCTAGTAAGCATTGTTTGTCAATGTCTTTAAATCCATCTAAGCTATTTAAGGAGAACAAGCTCCCGTAGATTTTGAAATTCGTCGATGTATGACTTCGTCTTAAATTACTGTCACAGAATGACGTGACGTCGATTGACAACCTGGGAGAAACGCCAATAGCATGACTATTTGTAAAATGTGCTGATATTTTGAAAGGGCCTTCAGAAAGACGATATTCATTGAGCTTCCGATCAGCTAAACCATGCCAAAAAGCGGTGTCCACTACTGTTTCATAGGGTATGTACTGTAATAATGGCATTTTTCAGTGATTAAAGCATGTAACTTTATGATCGTTTTTGTCACTGAAGGTAAGTAATAAGAGGGACTAAGAACCTACCTCTGGAAGAGTGTTGGAAGCCTCGGCCTCCTAAAACCTGACATATGTAGCAATATACTCGTACTGCGCAACCAACATTCAATATCCAATATATACAAGATCTTTTTCACGAGCTAGTGTAAACAAGTTGATTTCTTTGTGCTCGATTCTTGTTCTTTCGGCACGGTTCCGGGTTTCGGTCGAGTTCAATAAATGGGTGTCTAGTCACTCGACAGTCTAATTCTAGTCAATAGGCAGTTGGTTGGGAGTTTATGCCTCGGGATTTGAATGAAAAAGTTTGGTGAAAGATTGTATATATCGGTTAGTTGCCTAAAGCCGGTACATTAACTTTCTCATTCATTTAGTTCCGTACGGTAGAATGATATTAACTGAGCTTCACAGAAGATCAAGCCCTTCTATGCACACATTAACAAACGAAGGAGACGGCCTTTTTAAGAGGTGCTTCAGAAAATTGAATAAAAAGCGAAATCGTACATGAAAGACAGTGCATAAATAGATTCCAAGACCCCAAAGTACATAAGAGAAAAAGTAAGGTCACTAAGTACAACACAGAGAATAACAACCAAATCATACTTGGTTGCAAAGCTTTCGAAGATATGGAAACCCCTACATATCTGAGTAGCGCCCTTGGTAGGCAATGTGAAGATATAGATTAGCAAAGCAATGGTAGCATTTCTACAATTAGAGAACATCTGCAACTCCAAACAACTATCAACCAAAACCAATGTCAGAATTTTCAATACGAACGTCAAGACAGTTCTATTTGTACAGAGCGGAGACCTTCGCTTATGGAGAAGGCGAGATATCCGATTGCAAACTAAAGGACGAGTGTACTGCGCAGTAGTTCGCTCCGTCCTACTTTATGGCTGTGAAACATAGCCAGTCAAAGTGGACATTCGAAGGTTGCTTGTTGTCAATCATAGGCGTCTCCGAAGCATTGCTCGAGTATCCTGGGACACCCGAGTAAGCAACGCCGTTGTTAGAAAACGGGTCTAGGTAAGGATGGCAGATCAATAGATGAAGTGCCGAAACTTGATCAGTTGAGGTGGTTGGGACATGTGTTGCGTATGCCTAACCACCGACTGCCTCGTCGAACTATGTTTCGCGATAATGGAATGGCTTGGACGAAAGCTAGGGTCGGTCAGATCAGAACGAGGTACAAATCCATGAAGTCATTGACGAGTGGACTTAGCAATGTTGGTCGATGTAGGCTACCTAGTTGGGGTCCGCGAGATGATAATAATCGATGGTTAGAGACCCTGAGTGACATGGCTCAAAACCGTTCGCAATGGCGCAGGTGCATTTACGCTTTGTGTTCTCTCTAATTCTCACCTTCTGAATTCTTCATCACCTCTATCTTTCTCTTTCTAAATTTACCTCATTGAATTATATTCCTTGAATAATATCTTCTAATCCTAACCTCTCCGATTACTTCTAATACCTTTACTACCTCTACTATTATGGGATTTGAATTGACAATTATATCTCTGTTTTGATGTGGTATGGTAACTTGAACTGCTGTAGTTACGTGCAAAGTTCTACGTTGCTGTTGATGAAGATGATGATGAGTGGAGACTTGGAGAACAACGAAAGCCACCATCCACAAGATACAGGTGTTTGTTGAAAGTTGTCTACGCAAGATACTCCTGATCCGTTGGACAGACACCACCAGCAACAACCTACTGTGGAAGAGAATAAAGCAGATTCTAGCTGAAGAAGAAATCAGGAATAAGAACTGGAGGTGGATAGGACACAGATTGAGGAGAGCACCCAACTGCGTCACAAGGCAAGCCCTAACTTGGAATCCTCAGGGTCAAGGGAAAAGTGCAAGACCGACGAACACAGTACGCTGAAAATTGAAGGCACATATGAAAATGATGAATAGCGATTGGGAACAACTGGAAAGATGATCATGGGACATGGTTGGTTGAAGAGTGATTGTCAGTGACCTATTTTCTGATGGGTTAGGGGGAATTGGTAAATAAATAAAGAAATAATAATGGTGAAGAAGTCATTCATTCATGAATGTCCCTGTAGCCTCGATGGGTGTATATTGGTCAATTCACATTGAGTACAATGGACATTGTTGTCATGGTCTAGTTGGAGCTTTGAGATCAGGTATCTTCAAAACACTCAAAAGTAGTTTATGTAGTCATATTTAGCCATAATTAAGTTTGAGACATCTAAGTTCCTACGGGTGTATAAGTTTTTAATTCAGTTTCATTTTTTGAGTGACTGGAGCCAGGTGGCCCATATCACCTACTGTGTTCCCTTGTAACGAGGCATAATACACATAGGTAATCCACTCTATCTTCGTGAATTAGCTTCGCGATTCCGAAAATCAGCTTGGTTCTAACTTTTTGAACCATTTACAATACCTCACTATTAGTTTAAGGCATAGGCGGGGAGTTCGTATTCAACGCTCAAGTTAATGACGAACGAAAACTGAATACAAAGGTAAAAGTATTTTGGCACTGATATAGCCAAAGGCTCTACTTACATACTATAGGATGCTTAAACCTCCAGCATGTATCTCGCTGCATTGTGCGGTAGTTTTCAATCCTTGGCTAACGATTACACCTAAGTCACGGTCCGTCTGGCCTGAGGTGCTTTGTGGGCTAACCAATTCTATGGTGATCACTAGTCGATATAATTCCTAAACTTCGAATGCTTCTCGTCCTGATAACCACTACTAGATAAAGCACAACGATGAATGAATCTGAATACTATTACAAAGCGTTAATTGCCTACCGAGAAATCCTATTACAAGCTGGTCTGGACAACTATACTAGAAAAGAGCTCATTCATAACTTCTTCAGCCTGAGAGTAAAAAATAAAAAGAATAAATAAAACAAAAAATTATATCACTGAGCATTTTTATTAAATTATATTATTATTTATTATATTATTTATTATATATCAACATTATTACTAACAACTTGGTTCTTCTGAATTTCCTCTACTCATACGACTAACTTCCCATTAGTTATCTCACTACTGAATTGTCTTCATTAACCTACATAAGTGCAGGTGTACAGTTTTTGTTATGATATTAAAAAAGTCTGAGTAAACATACCTTTGTTTTATCCATAAACGTATGTGCAAAGCCGCTGTTTGGCTTTGAACAAGAATATTTTCTGTTCCGCTCCTCGTCCCGTTTTCTTTATTCCTCTTTTTTCAGAATCTTATTCCAATACACGTATATTGGTCTGGATATTTGCAGTAGACTTGGTTACCCTACCCAAGAATATGTGAAATCATTAGCTGATAAATATCAACCAGACCTTTGTACATTTACTGCATCAATTCTCTACCATGAATCGTTTCTCAGTCCATAAGATGATTGTCGTAACGCAACCTTTGTAACTTGCGCTATCCATCTTTAAGAATACAATGAATCTTGTGAAATGTTTCAGTAACTGTATACCGTTTTAAAAGAAATATGATGCTTATCTAAACATTTTGATCTTGCCTGTAAATTGGCATGTCTCTTGTAACATGTTTTTTATTTGAGAATGAATTATCATTATTATTATTATTATTATTATTATTATTATTACACTTATTAACGTGCCACACAGATATCAGAAAACCACAGGCGCAGAATTTATTTAAGCGGCCAAGATTAAAGCGAGTGGAATGAATATGCATGTAGGCGGCAAGCAGTGCTAATGCCTAAATGCTAACACAAGCACATTCGTACAGATAAGTCATTTCTGCACTAATCACGCCGTCTATGAAAATAAATTATTAAATGGGCTATGCCAAATTAAACAGACTAAATCAAATGTGAGGTGCTACACTGGATAATAGGTGGCTCAGTGTATAATCCGTTTTGAAGGCTTTGTTTTGGAAAAATCCCTTCATGTATATATTTGTAATATGTTCCTACTGACTCTTTCTGTGCTTCATTTTGGTACTCTGTCTGATCCCACTTTGAGATGTTAACATTTGTATTTTATCATAGTATCTATTTTTGTGCCTTTATTAAGGTTTCCATGTTTTCTACTGAACTGTATTATGTTGTTTGAATTGGTACTTAATTATGGCTTCAGCCATATCGGATTTGATTACCTGGCGGGTGAAACATACATCTGGCCTGGAAGAGTGCAATTTTGGACCTAAAAGGAAGCATTCTTCCAGATTTGGAAACACATTGTCTTAAAATCGACGGCAAACAGTGTAATATTGTTCATGTATCTATCTGTACCTTTCGATTGATAATAGCACCGTTTCTTACCCAGACAAATATCTTTTATTTTGGGATATCCGGGCAAGGCGCGTGTCTAAACTTATAGAACTTTTTTTCCGAAGTCAGAATCCATTGTGAATCTTACACTCATTGCTAGTGACTGTGAATATATCTGCGCCTCGATGACCAAATTGTATCATGATATGGTATGAGTAACTTCACTTAAGGTTTTCTACCGGATAAAGACTAATTAATACTTTCAAGTCCACGGTACTGGGTTGGATTCCCTCAGTAGACAACAACTCCACGTGAACGTTCAGCCGATAAGTCTAAAAATAGTACATGACGTGCTTTTTGAATTCCATTCCAAGCAGTAGAGACCTTTTCAACAATCTATCGGGATGTTAGCAGACTGACTCTATTGATCGTTTTCTGTAATGTTGAAATTAAGTTGAATTCGCGTTCATTATGTCTGAAGGTAGAACGTGTAAGGGAGGCTGCCTTGAGATGGACGACCGTCGACTGAGAATCAATGAAAGTGAGGAAAACATACAAGGCTGCTAAACTGATTATCATTGAAAAGACCAAGTCCATGATTTCGCATATACCTAAACGTTGCTCTAATGACGACATCACATCCCATTGTATTTATCAATTTAAATGTTTGTGTGGACACACATACATAGGGAGAAGTAATCAAACTTTGCAATCAAGGGTTGTGGGACATGTACCTAAGTGGCTTCAAAGTCAGTTAACGTCAGATGAGCCGATTAACGTTGGAAATAGAAAACCATGTTCATCGATCGCCAAACACATAATTGAGACATGGCATAAGATTGACATCAAGACAGCCTTCAAAACATTGTATAGAAATGTTGAAGGACGAATTTTGAGGTTTATGG